AAAGTCCTCGACTACTGACCTCTGATCTTCTCGGAAAACGACGTCCAGCTAAATATAGGTTAATAAATGGTGTTGTGTATTCATAATAATGGCTAATTTATGCACAAAGATAAACAGGCCCACACTGCGTATACGCAATGAGCTCGAAGGTGTAAACTTCGGGCCGACATTTTCAGACCGCCTTTTGCATGCTGGCTAAATATATCTTATGCGTGCAGCCACTAATTTTAGACTTCGGACAAGTGCACTTAAAGATATACCTAAACAACATTTTTGAGGAGCTCTGTGGGGCTATAATCTAATCATGATAGCCATAATCGAGTTGAAATTTAATTAACGCGCCTCCTTTTGAGGTGCGATAGTAGCGGATGAGATACCCATACCCGACACCCACATATCACGTGCCCTATTAGCAAACAAATAAAGTTTTGAAAACAGAAAAAAACGCTCGGAGATATAAAATTTATATATGCAGAGTAATAATGATACCTGCTCTGCCAGTTTTCTGGGAATCCAACTCCCTGCCCGATTTGCTATAAAGGTGTTTGCCATTGAAAGACGAATCAGATAAGATGCTGTCGGTTTTTGGCCAACTGATCCCACACCGCTCATGTGACACATTTTCCGGCTGACAAGCCAAACAAGTCGCTTTAATCGCTGCAGGCACTTTCATTTGACATTGATGTCAGTCAGTGATCTCCAGCAAATATTTGAGGCCACAAAAGTGGCACACAAGTAGCGAGAAAAACAATCATAAATGTCGTGTGACTCATTATGGGCCAGGGTCTTACTTTCTTCATATTAAAGATATCCCAAAGGTAACTCAAGTTGTCTTTAAACTTTCAGACAGAAGTATTATTATAGTATAGTCCTTACTACTAACTTTACTAACTAACTTTTGAGACTAAAACGACTTCTAGTTTTACACTTTTATCTTGCCAACTTATCAAGACAACCCATTGAAACGCTTTTCCTCTCTTTTTGGGCTAAGGCCCCACTTGTGGCCTGTCTGATTGTCTCACTCAGCCGTGTAATCAGACAAATGAAATCAAGATAAGACTAATAATAAGAAGAACAATAATATGGGCAATAAAGACGAGAGTAAATACTATTACGACATATATAGAATAGCACTTAATGAAATCAGACAACCCGCTGGCTGGCCCATCCCAGTTTATACCACATACCCACACCCGCAACGCCCACCCACCACCCACTAGCACCTACCTCCCAGCCAGATTTGGGCACTACAGCTGATAACTCTGTTAGTTATCTTCGGGGAGCGGTGGGAGGGTGGTGCTATCACCCGGCCAAATGAAATATAATACAATATAGGCGAAAAAAAACACAAAACGTCCGGGCTCCGGGTTAGTCCGTTTCATTCCCAGTCATTATCTTGGAGTTTTCGTAGATAAATCGCGCGGTAACGCTGGCATTCCTGCAGCATTATATTTCGCGCCCTACCAGAATATCGCCAGCTTATGTAGCGGTCGGAAGTGCCCTCTCGAGTGTCTCTCCCCAGCAGTGATTGATTGATTGATGAACCGATTGACTGAGTGATTGACCAACTGACTGATTGATAGTGCTACCAAGAACCATAAAAAAGACCGGCCGATCGATTGGCGAGAACGCTTTGCCAATATGAGCAAAGATGACAAGTGTGAGTATTATTTTGGAAACTTGGCCAGAAAGCGAACTTTAGTCGGCGGTTATCGTTCAGGTGGTTATCGATACATGCCCGAACACCCGTTCGAAAGCTAAAATATTGCTAATTTGCCAACAGCAATCAACTCGCCGGGACATGGGCAATGTCAATTTGTCGCCACACTTGTAAAACTAATTAAACGTTTGTCAGCAGCAGCCACGTGTATGGTCTATCGCGCCCTCTCTTTCTACCGGAATAGCCCCCACTCTTTCTCTCTTATCGCGCGGAAAATTATCTTCCCAGTGTGTGTGTGTGTGGGTGGGTGGGTGTGTGTCTGTTCCTTCTGTGCGTGTTTGTTTCGGCTCGGCAGTTAATTTGTTGCCACTTCGCCGTTGATGAAACCTGACAGTCAAAGGCAGCAATATTTTCATTTATTTTTCGCCAGTTTGCATTTATTTACGCTTCTTTTTTTTTTTTTTTTTGATTTTAAGGGACCCGGACACGCCTGCCACTTGATTTATGGTTACACAACGTTGACAGTTTTTTGTGCCTCAGAATTCACGGCTTGCTGCTACTCAAGCTAAATTATGGGCGGCAAGACAATTAGCCAGGAAAAGTTTGAGAGGGAAAGTGAAAAATGAGAACGTTTGTTGCTGTGCAATTTCAATTTTACTTTAAAAAGTGATTTATACTGTGTTTTTTCTGTTTGATTTTCAAAAAAAGATCTTTAAAAAACACATTCCCATGATATCAAAAAGAGAAACATACGCACTCGATTCTTCTTTTGTTTGATTTCAATATTATGCAATATTTTGAAACACCACACCCCTTTAAAATGTTCTCACATTACTAAATTAAGCTGATTATCTGGCTCACAATATATTTATCACTGCCAGTACTTAAATATATATTTTGTGTGCAATTTCCATATTGATGTACTGTAAAATTGTAAAAACCAAAACAAAGACGATTTCGATATGAAAGGCGCTAATTTGGTCACGTAAATGGATTCAATAACAAAGCGAGATGAAAAATTGTTTTGTAGTCTGCTTCTGTGCGTGCCTCAGTCCTTGACCCCACTCACCACCCACCGACCTCCCATCCCCCAACTCTTCCGATACCCCTTTTTTGGGCTCGTTTAGCGGGCACGTTTTGTGTATGAAAGATTTTGACGATGCCAGTGGCCCTCGGATTGATTTTTGCATATTAATGCAGGACATTGAATCGGAATCCAGCTGCACTTACTCCCCAGGCCATTCGCGTGCACATGAGTGGCCTTGGGCATTCTGACGGCCCATAAAAAAGGGAAAAGTCCACAGATAAAAAGCCAGAATCGCTTCTCTAATGGCCATCGCCTCGTAAAGGATAAATTTATGATGCATTTGCTGGCATTAAAAAGCAAATATCAAGTCTTGCAGTCGAGATAACAATTTTCATATTAAAGGAAAGTAATGTGCCTTTTTAACTGCAAAATGTTACAGAGAATTCAAAATGTATCGAGGTACCTGCTAGAAGATGGTATAATGGACTTTCAAACAAAGAATAAATATGACCTAAGACCTGAAAAAATATCAAAGTGTGAAAAAGTGGGAAATCTTCTTAATATTGGTATTTAATAAAGTCTATACTTTTTCTCCCAGTGCCCTTAAAGTCTGTGGGAATGTGATTAGGCATTAAAATCCGACGCCTTAACCGATGTCAGGCCACAGTCCGTGGGTGGCGCCCTCTGGCGTTGGCACGTGACTTCATTTGTGTCTTACCCACGCTGTATTATTTCTCTGTTTTTTGTTGTATTTCACGCCTTTCGAAGGATTCTTCTAGGCTTTTGGGCCCAGATAGTTAGTTATTCGGCGCCTAATACAATTTACGCCTCCGGGGAAAGTTTTTTGCGGCGTAATTTGTATTTTACGACGAACCGGTGACCTTATCCTTTAGAAGGGGCCATCGTCCTGTTGGGAAGCTGCACATATTGGGAACTCTATCCAACTAGGAATTTTTCCAATCGGCTTGCATTACATTCCGTTAGCTGCCTCAAACTTTTCCTAATTAATTTTCATTAAAAAGTTGTTTGCATTCGAGTTGAACGAACTGTGGGGAATTCTTAAAACAAAGAGATAAAGGAAGAGCCAAACGGGACGTTTTTTAAAGGATTGTGGCTCGTTTGTTAAAGGGTTCCTTCAACCCGGTGTCTTTGTGTCTTAATTTGTAGTAAAGTTAACTGTGAGGGGAGAAATTTAATTCCACAATGGCTTCATTATAAATTTCCAGCAATTAGGCATAATAATATTCATATATTATCACGTAAGCCCTCAAAGCGTTTTAATTGAGAATTACATAAAAATCCAGAGATACCGTTGCATAAACCTTACGTATGCCCCGTGTCCATCTACCCTTCCCATTTTCCCATGCCTGCGATAAAAACAACAACGAATTCGGATTCTCCTTCATTTTGTTTTGTTCCCCACTTTCGCTGAGCCAAACAAACGGGCTTCCTCCGTGTTGGTGCAAGCGAGAGGGCCCCGTAGAAAGAGAGACTCAGTCGGCTTCGTGCAATTCCAGCCAGTCTAAAAAGAGAGAGGTAGACTGCACTTCGTGCATTGCCCCTTCGCAATGCACAGAATGCAGTTGCTTTTGCGTTTTGTTGTTGTTGTTTTGTCGGGTGCAAGGTTACTGGAAGGTTTCTCCCTTTTTTGTTTTGCATATTTTTGAGGGGCGGCATACAGGGTGTATACGTAATATTTCCAACATGGCGTATACGTAATTTTTTTTGAAACTTTTAGTTAAAGTTTATATTTTTTTTGTTCAATTATAAATACTAGTATTATTTATATGTCATGAAGAGAGCCAAGCAAAAAGTGCCCCCCAATTTAAGCTTTAAACCTTATAAAGAGTATAATAATTATATAGTCACCCCCAAAACAATAATGATCACATTAAAAAAATTAAATAATTCAACCCGAAAAGTCCTTCAAAAAGCGCGAAACCCCATCACGTGAACTCTGAGTCAAAAGCGGAAACCCCAAAAAACATTCCAATCAGTACTTTCCCTCTCTCTTTCTTTGCATCTTCGGTTCTCCGCTCTTTCTCCTTTTGTGGCACCGTTTCGCTCTGTGGAGAAGAACGTTATGAAAACAGAAGCAGCAACAAAAACAAAACAGAATTGTTGGTTGCCCCGGCGATGAATGAAATTCCGCCGAAGCCCCCAAAGCTCCGCGTCTCGGTTTCGTGCGAAATCCCGAAGGCTCTTTCGGCTCGCGACTAGCGGTAGATGGCGGCAGGGGGGTGGACCCGAGGCTGCTGCCAATGGGGTCTGCCATTCATGAGGTTCCTCCGACTTTCATGGCGTTCAGTTTCAGTTTCGAAGTCGACGCGGTTAGCCAACAAAAACGGTTGCGACGGATTGTCGCCAACTAACAAACAACCGCACTATCGTAGCGCTATCTCACTATCACCAAATCTGCTCCTATCAAAATTCCTAATTTCTTGGATCTGCCAGTTAAGCAGATACCGCTATAATCTTTGTAAGAATTTAAGAAATCTAATGGTTATGTTCTTGTTTTGGTTTCGAAAGACACTCCCCCGCCAAATAGTTTGAGTTCAGTGCGCGTAATTGAGGCGTAACGTGTGTCCTTGAAGTGTCTGTCTATGAGCCTGTCTTGGTCTTGGTCCTGGGCTGGCCAGGACTCTGAAGCCAAGGAACTGAAACCAGGACACCCAAAAGGAGTCTGTTATGTCACTCGACACTTTTGCGCTGCATTATGCACATGTGAAAAGCAGTAATTGGATGACAAATGCGAGGATGAGTCAATCCGATGAAGCAGACATTAGTTCTCCTATCTGGTGATGGGTGTCAGATATCCAAATGGACGGTGGGAAAAGCCTGGCAGGCTGATAAGGGGACATTAGTTGGGTCAGTTCCTAAATTAGTTATCTAGTCTGGGTAAAATGAAAACAACTTTATCGGAAATGAGTAATCAATAGCTTTTAACTTTAAGGATAACATCTGATGTCTATGTTAAAGAAACTTCTGTAATCGAGTTAGCTTCTCTCTGCTCTGCCAATAAACTTTCAATTTGCATTTCCACTGACGTATATTTATTGGCCTCAAAGGAGAAATGGCTGTCAGGCTGCATAATTATTGGAATATCAGGTCGGGGGGGAACCCGGCCAGCGCCGGGCGATAAATTGAAGAAAGCCGACAAGTGTCGGGACACTTGATTGGGTGGTATTGATGGAAAATAAAACAAAGCACCCCACCACATGGTAGAATAAGAGGCCCTGACCCTGAAACGGGGCCATGGAGGGCGGTGTGCCATTCGACCTCATTCGGTCGCGATTTGTGCAATTAATTGCAATTAAAACCCCAGAAAGGGGAGTGTACGAAACCGAACCAAGAACATTATGATATTTCTGAATTGTTTGCCCGTTGTTCTGCCAAGATCAACAGTTAATGATTCCGATTCTCATTTCCCTCTTGCTCTGATATTTTTAAGCTATTTTGAGGATAAACAAATCGCCGACGTTACTCATACGCCCCGTTAACAGAGACACAAGCAAGCACCACAGACCCGCAAAAAGTAAAAGTAATAATTGCCGGGCAGAAAAAACAGTGCGATAATAACAAGCAAACGGGCGTCCAGAGACGTCGAAAATAACACAAAAACACTATATCTATAAATACTTAATAGAAACAGAAAAAAACCAGAAATGGATCACAAAGCAATCGCAAGTCAAGTGCGAGGTGAGCTAAGTATGGACATAATATATTCTCCTATTTTGTGTTAAAAAATAAATGTAATACTGTTTTAATAGTTATCTGTAGTGTTGACGATAGTGCCAGCCAGGCACCTGATACTCGGGTGTTGCTAGGGGAGTGCGAAACAATTATCTCTGGGAATCAATATGCTTGTTTACTGGCCATGTTTAAAATACAAATTATAACAGTGGCTGCTGGCGGGTAAATAATCAAAAAGAGTCGTGTGTCATGCCCAGCCAGCCACCCACACGAATCAAACAAATGCCCAAAAACAAACACAAACACAACAAATGCCAGCACAATCAACGGAATTTCCAATCTAATCAGCACGACAACTTTCTACGCTATTATTGTTTTCATTATTTCCTTTTGCTGATTTTCCAGGAATTACCATACATTATATCTTATCGGGGGGTTCTAACAAAGACCATTATTACTTTTATAAGGCTAGGCTCTTAATTAAAGGTTTTTTCCAAAGAAAGTTCAACTTTAGGTCGTACCATATAATAGTTAAATTTTCCTTAGTTCTACCAACTTTATTTTCAACTCCGAGTCCTGCGCCACAACCACTTCTCCGATATGTGTGTGACAAATAGAGGTCCTCGAAGCAGCGCCCACGCCCACTTCAATTTGACACGTTTGAAGTGTTGAAAAGCTCGCGCAAAACGTTCCGGCCGCGTCCTTTATGCAGGATAATTTAATTTCAGAGCGAACATAAAAGGGGATTAATATCGCCATTGCCAGGCTATTAATAGTCATGGAAATTCAGAATACGCAGATTTGGATTTGTTCGCAGTCATGGCTGAACTTTACTTTTTAAAGCCTGCTAAGCCAAGGTCTATAGACAAAAGGTCAAATCGGGAAAATATTAGAAATATTATGAAATATATCCTTAACCTTGATAAAGGCCAAAATGGGTGGCCAGATCTGGCACTGCCGCCACAAAGTCGAACGCGGGTGCGGCTGTTGCAGCCACATTTCATGGTCACTCTGGCTTCTGCATATAGCCATGTTCCTTCCCCTCCACTGCAGCAAATCTTTTCCCAATATATGTGTGGGTTTTCCACCAAAACTTTCCAAGCTAAAAAACTTTGCGCCTTTAAGCGTTATTTACGAGGGCGGAGCAGAGCAGGGAAGTGCAAGTGCAATTTATATGTATGGATGTCGGCAAGTTTGCCTCCAACTCAATTACACTTCTTCCTCCGAAAAAACGAGACCCCGGAGAGGTACTAAAGAGTCTGCCGAGATTCCCAGCAATGCAATGCAATTATCAAGTTCATTGACAACGGGGAAAAATAAGCGACATTGCGGGGTCGGAAGGCAGACGTCGGAGGCAAACCCAAACAGACAACGAACAACAAATGTTTTTCATTCACTTTCCCGCTAAAAGTTTTATTGCTCGAGTGCAGTGGAAAATAAGGGGGAGATGCCTCACATTTGGAAGGACAATGAGTACATGTGGAGGTCTCTGAAAGGGTTCCTACAGAGAGGGAAAATAAACAGTAGTTTGGGCTTAAATATTCCATCTGATCCTTGAGCGGAGTACCTCAATCGATTTGTGGATCGATTCTCCATCAATCTGCATCAAAATCTGAAAGAAAATTATTTTTTCACTTTTTTGTCAATTTTGCTGATGGGTCCCCTTCAAAAATGATGAAAAATGCATGGGAGCCCAATTTCACCCACCGCGAAAGCCATATCTTTGCCAATTCCCATCTGATCCTTGAGCGGAGTACCTCAATCGATTTGTGGATCGATTCTCCATCAATCTGCATCAAAATCTGAAAGAAAATTATTTTTTCACTTTTTTGTCAATTTTGCTGATGGGTCCCCTTCAAAAATGATGAAAATGCATGGGAGCCCAATATCACCCATCGCGAAGCCCATATCTTTGCCAATTTCCATCTGATCCTTGAGCGGAGTACCTCAATCGATTTGTGGATCGATTCTCCATCAATCTGCATCAAAATCTGAAAGAAAATTATTTTTTCACTTTTTTGTCAATTTTTTGATGGGTCCCCTTCAAAAATGATGAAAAATGCATGGGAGCCCAATATCACCCACTGCGAAAGCCATATCTTTGCCAATTTTCATCTGATCCTTGAGCGGAGTCCCTTAATCGATTTGTAGACCGATTCTCCATCAATCTGCATCAAAATCTGAAAGAAAATTATTTTTTCACTTTTTTGTCAATTTTTCTGATGGGTCCCCTTCAAAAATGATGAAAAATGCATGGGAGCCCAATATCACCCACTGCGAAACCCATATCTTTGCCAATTTCCATCTGATCCTTGAGCGGAGTACCTCAATCGATTTGTGGATCGATTCTCCACCAATCCATCAACTGTTCCACCAATCCATCATCATATTCAATACATTAATTTATGAACCTCTAGAAACATAATCTATAGCAGGGGTGCTCAACGCCTATACACTGAGTGCACTTTTGTTTTTGTAGATGCTCTGTGCTTATGGCTAGTGCGCCCATAAGCACCGTGCATATGGGCTTCGATTACCATGCGAAACAAAAACAATTTTGCTTGTTTCTTCATTACATCTCTATCCGTCGTCACGCTTCGCTGAACGCAGTGTATTTTGTTTTTGTTTTTTCCTCGAGCACATGCACTGGAACTTATTCTTCTGTCTGCTTTGGCTTTTGATTTATTTCGTGGGACTAAATAATAATCTGGAAGCTCAATTAAAATTATCAACCACTAAAATTAATATAAATATTGAATCTTTTTTAAGCCAAATATTAAAAAAAAAAAATAAATAAATATTTAAAACTGCTTTTTTTTCTCTCAGTGCACAGTTGCGCCCCAACACTAAAGCGCCGCTACTAATGTACACGTTTTCTTGTGTCTGTGTTAGTAAACGCACTGCCATAAGACGAATTTGAGCACCCCTGATCTATAGTATTAAGTAAGTTGAAAATATCTCTATCTAAATAATATAAAAGTGGAGAAAATATTTGCATTGCTTTCTAAATCTTCATTTTTCTCCCTGTGTGTGTCCTTTCAATTAGTTATAGCGACACTTACAGATTGCCAACTTTTTGCCACAACGCACTTTGACTTTGTCATGGAAATGTTGGGAATTTTGCGGGGAAAGTCGGGAGAAGCGGGAAAGGCCAGCAGTGAGCTGTTGACAACTGAAGTTAGTCTTTGTCTCGATTTAATAAGGCAATTAAAAACTTTCGCTAATTGCTAATGCCAACACTTTGTTCTGACAGTGTCCAGATTAGTTACTTGCGCCGGGCGATGAATGCCAAAGGGGGTTCCCGCAGTGGCATTATCAGAACTTTCCATTCGAATTCGATTTAGAACAAAATAGAAACAAATAACATTTTAAAGTGAAAGTTCGTATGCAAACTAATTCGAATTTGCTTTGGAGGAACGAATATAGAAAGGCGGCGACAGCGACTTAACTAGATGCCAATAAATGCGCCGGGACGGGACAGGATAGGCTACCAGGCGGTAACCTCAATATGTTCCAGTCCCGACACCTGTCATCCCATCCCTCACATCCTGGCAAGCTGCAGACACAGCACTGTGAAATATTGGTGTCAATGTGTCAATATTTGAAGTATAAACACGTGTGCAATTACAAACTATACAAGTATCGCACACCACCGCAGGACCCTCTAGGGAGGGTCTAGAGGCGGGTGTATAGCTGTGGGTGTATGTGGTCGTATTAACAAAGCAACGGCAAACGGAAGTGCTCTACATACGGCGGAAAAGAGGGGCAGGAGGGCCGGGAAAGCGGCTTTGGCCCAAAGCAATTTACATGCAATTTTCGCATATCTTCTTCCCTTTTCCATTCTTCCTGCGCAATGGGTGACTGCTTTTAAAGGATTTTCTATTCCTTCTCAGGTCTAAAATTCGTTCAGTTTTTGTTTTTTTCCTTTCTGTCAGGAATTAAAGACTTAAAGTCTAAAACAGATAAAATACATTCATTTTTTTAAAGGTTACCAATATCCATCAAAAACTGTATTCTTATAGAAATTACAATATTTTCCAAAAAGTTATGCATAACAAATTGCACGCAAAGTTATGCCCAATTGGAAAAATTACAAGTTTTTGGCTAAAAGGCTGTATTTATGGCCTGTTTCGGGCAGGCCAATTGCAAGTTTGATCGATTTGGCATTGGGGTCGAGGAGTCGCACCCCAGACAGAGCTGAGGTTGAGGTTGAGGTCCTGGCTTCTGGTTCCTTGGCTCTTGGCGTGCCGCAGAGAAGGCCATCGCAAGGCCTTAATTATTGTGCAAGGCCCTCGGCCCGCCCACCACTTTTTACAAATTCCGAATAAGAGTTTTAAGCCAGCAATTTCCGCCTTTGGTTTAGCAAACGCCTGAAAGCATGCAGTGTTTTTTTCCACAAACAATTCAAATGGCAAGCCGGAGAAAAACAAGTAAATGCCGCCCTATCAGGCGATAAACAATTTGCAATGTTTTTCAATGTTTTTCGCATGTTCCATAACTTTTCCAGATGCAGTACCAAAAGTAGCAAAAAGGAAAATAAATAACACGCCACCAGAAATCACGCATTTCCCCAGAAACTGGCTTTGATTTTTACGACTCGCCATTCCCCAAATGTGTATAGTATATATTTTTCCTTTTTGTGGCAAACATACTTTTGGCACGGAGGTAGGGAACATGGCCCAGAGCTTAAGACGCAATTTGTGTCCTGCTGATATGTAAATACTTGTGTGGCCTGTGTAGGCTGGTGTGGCCCACACGGCGAATACTTAATTTCCTTTTTTCGGGCCAAACCGCACAATTGAAAAGGGGTTGAGGTATATATTCAGTTGGGGCCTACAGCAATCGCTTCTGAGAAGCATTTATGAGCCTTTTCGGAAGAACACTTGATAAGAGACTATTAGGATTCCAAAGCTTTAATAATAATGTCCTTATTTGATTTATTTTTCAGACCTACGCACAGCATTCGATCTACTAGACAGAAATCGTGACGGCCGTGTCACCGCCAACGAGCTGCAGTTTATGCTAAAGAACCTGGGCATTAATGTGCGTGATGAAATCATACACGATCTCATACGTGAGGCCAGCCACTCAGGTAAGTGCCACTTTCACCTGAAACCTGAAACAGCCAAAGCAAAAGCAACATGCCACTTCAGCTGGCCCTTTCAACGCCCATCACCCCACTGTCCTGTGACAACCTGTGGCAGCAACAGCCTGTGGAAGTGCAACAGTTATGCCCTCCGAGTGTGTTTTTGTTTGTCGACTCTTTAATAATTCAGCGCCGTTGTGGGGCAGTTGAAAGAGGCCGTCGGGAAAGGTTAATTAAACCCATCGAGGCATGTCGGCGATTGGCTATGCCGGCATTTAATCAAGTTTAGCCCTGAAAGTTGGCAATCGGTGATAATTTCCCCTGAGAGAGTACTATTGAATAATTCAATTCCCGGCAAACGTCTGTTTTAACAACTTTCAGCTCAGCTTAGAGACTGGACATGGCTTTAAGCCAATTCCATTTGTTTCCCCCGTGACGGCCGAAGCTTTTCTCATTTAATTTACTCGTTAGGAAATGCAATTTTTATTGAAGAAATTCCCCAGCCAAGGCGGGAAGCTGTAACAGAATTTTTCTTGTAATCCGGGGAGGATGTTGGAGGTGGGCGGTGGGTTGTATCTTTCGGCTTGTTGCATTCTTGCGAGGTTGGAAATTCAGACAATTTATTTTTCATTCATAAAATCCAGCAAGCGATGCATATTAAAATTAAATTGGAGCAAGCTGGCAGAAAATTGAATTTCCCCCATTAAAATGTAATTGTAGTCCAGGCCACAGCGCGTACGTGTCAATAATGGACTTATCCTTAAATGGGTAGAAAGTAATTTAAATACACAGTACACTGAAAGACTTACCTTCTTTGTTAGTTTGAATATTAACCAAACAAAAGACCTTGACACAGCCCTTTTCAGGTCACTTTTGTTTGCCAACTGATTGTGTTAATTGATTTTGACTTAATCGCCGTTCAGGTATTTAAATATTGGCCGACTCTTATCTAGAGATCTGCTCAGTGAAAATTCTGTAAATTTAAACTCGGTCACGTACAGGGACCGTGGTGCAAGGAGGCGAGTGGCAAGGAGGGCGTGTGGCAAGGCGAGTGACATTTATCATATAACAACGGGCAACTGTTGCTGACATTCCCCACCAGACCGGCCAGAGAGCGGTGGGGAAGCGTCTCCAGTGATGCCTGCCACCGGCAGACGAGTGTTGCAGCCACGACCTCCCCACAGAGCCACCCATATGATTGTGTCCTGTAAGCTGACAGGCAACACTGCAGCCAACATGTGCCAGACAGACAAAATAAAAGCTGGCTCTGGCAATGCAAATTAGAAGTTATTTGGAATTCAAACCCAAGAAAGAGCTGTCACCTGAAACTCAAAGGGCTTGCCAATTATTTTCAACAAAGATCATAAATAAAATAAAATATCATAACCACTGCTCGTACAACTTAAGGCACTGATTTTCGGTAACTTTATATTCCAGAACAAAGTTTCAGAGTCTTTGGAAGTTAAGAAAGTTTTAGCGAAAATCTCCAATATCCGCTGGTTGGCCACTTCACAACTTTTCGTGGATTTTGAAATGCATATTAAGCAGGTGCTTGAACCCAATCAGAGGCAACCAAATAACCATAAAGTGGCAGCAACTTTTTCCCCGAAATGGGGATGGCTAGCAAACGGCCAGCAGAGACAAAGACTGCCGCAGTGTTTCGATTAGGGCCCGGCCAAGCTGTTGAATGTGGCTTAAATCGTGCACTTTATGGCTTCATTAACATTCCTGGGGTTTCAATGACACTCGCGAGCGGTTGGCCCCGAGTGGGAGGAGTGGCAAGAAACGCTGATTTAGCCATTCGTCCACTGCTAAGTGACCACCTGGCGGAGCCTTTTTCTTCCACTTATTTATGCGTGTCCTTATCGGGGCAGGACCTCACGCAAGCAACAGTTCTTGGCTTTGGTTTTTCTTCTGTTTTCTATTTATTCTTCTATTTTTTTTTGGGGTCAATTGCCGCTTAAGCAGACCGTACATCGACAATTTATGTTCGGTGACATTTTGCGGCATTTAAAAATAATTGTTGCCACGGTTGGCCTTTCCAACGCAATTAATTTCGATCGCCCGGTAGCAGGATGTTCGCACAGATGTGACTTTTAGGCTGCTAGGCTTTTAGGCGCTACATCCACATAAAAGCCATGGCCGACAGCCGCCACCCGCCAGCCATTAAATGCCCTATTAGGCAGTTGTTAAGTTTCAAAGCCAGGCCCACAGGGAATCTCTTTGCCTCCGTGTTGCGTTAAATTAGTTTCCCGCAACCACATTTCACATTAGCCACAACTGTCGGAGCCACAACAATTGCACCACCACCCGACAGAGCCACCCACCCTGCCACCCATTGCATTTGCAGATGGAGCCCTAATCGAATTTCCAGAGAGTACAAGTACGTTTTGCATAACCAATGGCCAGAGGTCCTTTGGAGTCCTTCGAAATGGCCCCAAAGTTAAATACAGCTTAAAATACCAACACCGAAAATTCCATTCCAAAATTGCTGACTGGCTGGGAAGGCGAGTGGAAAAATGAAGGAAAGTGCCTCCGAAATGGGCCACAGACATGAAAATCATCAGAGAGGAGGGGCAGAACGGGAGTTATAAGTTCAAAGTTCATTTGAGATCCCCTCTGAAAAATCGCTGCCTTGAACTGCATTCCTGAGGCGAAGGAATTTTGCCATTAGGAGCAGACATTGCACATACGCAGCGTTGGCCAGGGCAGAGCTTCCTTTTGACTGAATTTAATTAATGGCCAGCTGCCAGGTAATTTATTGGCCATCAAAGGCACTCGCTTCTACGTGTGCGATTGTGTATATACAGTGCCTGTGTTAGTCAGCGTTTATTGCCTGTTTTACAAGCTCAAATGTGGCCAAAATACACATACCCATTGGACGTCCTCAGTTCACGTCGCTGCACTGCAAAGCAACAATCAAACAATTGAGGGAGCCTCTTCCCCACTAATACACTTACAGTGTTGCCTCCCTGCGAGCTTCCGTTTCCGGTTGATGCCATTAGAGACCAGCAGTAACAAGGATGACACACATTCCCATGAATATATTTTTTAGAGAGGAAAACTTACATGAGATTTGTTAGAAAATTATTTTTTAAAACTTTATAACCGTACTTTTTGCATAAAATATGATATTTCTTCAATGTTTATTACAACATATTTATAAAATATTTTCAATTATGCAACACTGTACTCGTTTTGTGACCTCTGCCAGCCAACAACTTGCCACATTGGCCAATAATTGATTACACTTTGGCATGAAGTTGTTGCCACACACCTCCACAAGTCCTGCGCATCCTGCCACCCAGCCACCTACTCCCCCTGAGGGTAGTGCACTGCCACACCGCAGAGGCCATTTGTTATGCCTGTTGTCGTCGCTGTCACTTGGCCAGAACAGCTTTCAGGTCCTGTGATTGAAATAGTTGCATCCCAAATGTGGCACTGCCGTTTAAAATTCGTGATTTAATTATTTCGCCACCTTTGATTGATTAAGTTGGTTGGTTTTGGAATGGAGAGAAACCCCAACACAAACTACAAATAAATTCCAGTTTAGAGAGAGCTTGCTTTGTCTTTCCCCGGGCATCGATCAATGCCAGGACTAGCTCGCAAACTGCAGGTCAAGCTTGAAAATTCGTTGCTTTGCTTAACGAGGCGAGTGAGCTGGAACATATGTAACAGGAGTGGCGGCTCCTGTACAGGACATGCTGCACGCAAGCCAGGACATTACCGAAATGTGCGACAAAACAGTCGCTGGCAGAAACGCCCTCGATGGCAATGCCAAGGCATGTCCTTATGCCACATAAAGCTATAAGAGAGCTGAAAAAAAGGACGCCAGGCGATGACAATGGCGGCAACGGCAACGACAACATCAACATACACATATAAGCAAGCCATTTTCATTATCCTTGGACTTGTCCTTTCGGCAGACAGACACAGACGTTGGCGGAGATAGACGCCGAGAGATAGAGATAATGTGCATTTAGTTTTGTATTTAAAAAAAGGAGGAAAGCAAAGGAAGGCCTCTCAAGTATGGGGGCTCGGCACTTGGGAAATGCTGTTTGAAATAAAAAGGAAAACCAACATGAAAAGCCGACAATCTTTCGCAGAAAGAACTGATAGATTTGAACAAGAAAGAGACTATAATGGCTGGAAAAATATATAAAATAATTGTTTATTTTAATTTCAACTTAATTAGCTTATGTTTTATATCTTCAAAGCCATTATAGGTTATAATTGTTAAGACATATCATGAGAATAATTATTCAGTGCTATTATTTCATCCATGACTGTGCCACAATATCCTGTGCCAATGACAACTTGCGGGACGAGGACTCTCGAGGTTGAGACCCGCTAAGCACAAATGAAAATATTTTTCAAGCAGCCAACACAAATGTCACCCAGATGTCAGTCCGACAAGAGCAGCAGGAAGCCCAGAAGCAGGCAAATGCTTAGAAAACGGCACAAGAACATGGCCAGGCTGAGCTCTATGATGACAATAATGGGTCCTGCAAGACCATGTTTTTGGGGTCTGGGGTGCTGGGGGTGCAACATATGAGCAAATACCCAAAGCAATCACTCTGATATGTTGATGTGTTGACGATGGGACAATATTTGTATCAAGTTGCGTATCAAGCCGGCTGGCTTCGGGCCAAGGAACTTGGTGCGGACTTGGCCTGGCTTAATTGATGCAAAATGGCCATCGGGTTGTTTGACCCTTAATGTGTTTTTGATGCCAACCATGCAAAAAAGAAGAAAAAGTCACATTTCGTAATTACCAGAAAGCAATTCTTTACGATCCCTTGGTTCTAGTTTTTTAAGCTCATCGCCAGAATAATTATATGTATCTGATTTACAATTCAATTTCGGCTGACTTTGAGTTCTTTATTGACATTTAATTTAATTAAATTACACATTTATTCCCGTCTTTCAAGTTTGGGCGACCCACAAATAAATTAGCAATTCTAATTATGATATCTCGGTTTGGTCAAACAAATTGCAATTAGAGATGATATATACAAAAAATGGCAGGCCCTCCCTTTTCTTTTGGGGGCTTTCTACCAAACTTATGCCAGCCTAGATTATCGCAGATTTTAACTTCATTTTCATTCCCATTCGCGCAGAGACGGTTCTCTTTTCGGCTTGTTTTCATGTGTTTTTTTTACTGTTCGTTACCATTTTTATTATCATGGATTTTTTTGTGTTCGGTGCTCTGAAGGTCAAGGACGAACGCGCAAAAGGTTTTTCTTTCCGGACGCCATATCTTCTGCGTTTAATTATAAAAGTTTCAGAGGCAGTACGGGAAAGTTGAGTCAGTCACTGGGAGCTTCGGCTTAGGAATTTCCCTTAGCCTGGCTTTTGATTTTGGATTTTCTTGGTTTTCCTTCTCGTTTCTTTCATTCTCTTTTTTTCTGGTTAATGGTTTCCCAGAGAGATCTCAGCCGGAAATGCTTCTGACAATGCCACCTGGGCGCACAAAAGTAGGCAACATTTGAATTGCGAGGAAGCTGCAGGAAGCCCGAAAGAGCATGTCCTGCCAGCAACAAAGGATGTCCTCGTTGCGGCGGATTGAGGCGTGTAAACATTTTCGCCAAGCGGGTGGGCTGAAGGGCCACCAACAATGCAAAAATGCATTTCATTTATATGTACATCTTTTTTTTATTTGCCAACACTTTTTACTGGAAATGTTTGCAGCTCTAGGTGGGCGGATAAAAAGGGATTTTCTAAAGGATTAAAACTATAATGCTATTTAATGGGTAATTGTGTTGTTAGGAATTAAAATTGTGTGAAATTAACATATTTTCCGCTTAAGGAGCTTATACTTTATGCGGTTTATTCAAACTATATTTTCAGCGAATGTTTTAAGAGCTTGTTTTTGCTTTTTTTCTTTTAAACTTGGTTTTTCACTTTACTCTCCTCTGTTTTTCAGGCAATGGCTTAATCAACGAGGCTGAGTTCCTGCAATGGGTTGGCAGGATCCAGGCCCTGCGGGACGAGCAGCAGCAACATGAGGAGAGCGCCAGCAACAGCAAGCCGGCGGACGAGGCCGATGATGTCACCGAGGACTTGATAGCCGCATTTAGGTGAGTCCTTGTGCTCAAATCCCATAACTTCCTAGAATCTCTGGCATCGCATTTTATCCTTAGAGTATTCGATCGTGATGGTAATGGATTTATAACGCGCGACGAGCTGCAGACCGCCATGGAGATGATTGGGGAGCCCTTGAACGAGGCGCAGCTGGAGCAGCTCCTGGCCATCGCCGACTTGGACCAGGATGGCCGCATCAATTACGAGGGTGAGTGCAGCCGACAAAACAGACAAAGGACACTGCTGACGCAGGCGACCACGCGGAAGGACATGCGTGTATGCCACAGAAATAAGAGAGAGAAATTGAACGGAATTGAATTCGAATAGCTTTTAAAATTGCTTGAAATTTGTGTGAAGGTACACTGACCTTGGTGCTTCATAAAGTAAGATTTCTGTTTCATTTTATTTCCAAGAATCATCCTAAAAAAGCCTCAAGAACTCATATGCTTTCATGGATTCAACTGCAGCTGCGGCTGTCTGAGCGTTAAGTTAATCAAGTGGTAGCATAAAATATGGTAACCTCCCGCGTCAATATTTGTCCAACCCACCGAAAATGTTACGCCCATAAATCAGCCAGACAAACACGGCGACAATAAAGTTTATTAACCTTGGATAATGCCAACAGGAGGAATGGTTCACCCAAAACGCCACAATGTTGACTTGTTTGTTTACTCGTAAAGTTTTTTATGCCCAGTACTTACTACCAAATTACCATGCCCCGGGTCCTGCAAGATTGTGGCTCTAGTAAGTGATCAGAAAACTTTTCTATAGAGCCAATCAGTTCAAAAGATTTTCCATTTAAGGGATAATTATAAGGTATCTGAAAGTCGCTCTCGCTCAGAGGAGCCTAAACAGTCTGGGGGTCTTCCAGACATAAAAAACTTTTCGGCTGAGCCAATGTACGTGGCTGGAGAAAAATAAACAAAAAATAGTAAGAGACTATAATGCAGTTAACCTTGAATAGAGTGAAACAAGAGCTCTAGGCACTGGGGTTTACCTCAGGATCCTCCTGTCCTTTGTAATTCTGCACTTACAGCAAAAAAGGCAGCACAGAATTCCCTTGCGTGGCATTAAATTGGTTTAATAAACTTAAACTAATACGGGGACATGCACAAATACAAACAAAAACACACTCACACAAACGCGCACTAACAGAGACTCGAGTGTCCTCTCAGCCCGTATGTGTGCTTTGTTTTTTTTTTGTTTCTCCTCTTGTAGAGGTGTGTGCGTGAGTTTGCCGGGCTTGGAATCCCTTGTATCATTAGGTTCATATGCCATCGCCTTGCTGGTTGATACTTTGACCTTGTAACGCATTGACATGTCACCCACCCACTCTGGAGAGCAGTCGAAAAAACATTATAATTTTCTTAAATAAATTAATAGTTTTATTAGGCAAGCTTTCTCTGGAGGCTAAACTACATATCGAGTGCTTAACCATGACACCTTTGGTAATAACTATATATTTAAATAATTATGTAAATGATTTTCTTTAAGTGTACTTATCGAGTCCAGTTCAGCAAAGTACTGGCCCAGCCCGCTTCTCGTCCTTGCCAACCATTTGTTTGCTGGCATCTGCAATTTATTTACTCATTTTGCTGGTTTCGTTGCTTTCGCCTTTACTCTACTCTATTTACTTTGCACCGGCATCGTCAACTATATCGACATCCGACCAGTACACTATATAGAGCACACACTGCGTATACGCAACGCCTTTGCGTTTGATTTTTTCGCTGACACTGCATTGCGGTGAAGGATAAGGAGATTGGAGGATAGGCCAGAGCGGAGCAACACGTACACCGCCTCCGGAGAACCAGATCCGTGGGATTTTAGGTCGTAAAAAAACCGTCTCCGTAGAGAACGGAGGCGTGATTACCCCGCCCTGGGCGACAGTTTGTGTAGTAGGGTTATTTTTCATCCGAGAAAGGTTTTGGTCGTTGGATGGTCATTCAATTGTCAGGGGAGTAGGTACTTCATCACAAATCTACTTTATTGCTGTCAATATTATCAGTAAATTGACTCAAATTGAGCTCAACTGTTGTCTTAAGAATATTATGTATTATCGGCCCTACGCATATCAATACTATTGCCACTCGAGTGCAGTTTGTCGCCTACCTAGATATTATTTGCGGCAAGATTCTCTCTTTGAACGGGAACGTGTTATATGTTATGCCTCATAAAATAAAATAGAAACCTTAGTAATTACATTTTTGTAACAACTCTTTCCCTTTCATTATTTTTAATTGCAGAATTCACGAGACTTCTGCTCTAAGCAATTTACGTCTGACATGGAGACATGGTCGAGACCACGAGCCCCAAAAAACAATTGCAAGTGGAATGCCAACCGAGTTACCCCTTCAGCATAATTGTTAAGCTATTAAGAATATACTCAGACATGCAGAAAATAATGATGCAATACAAGAGTTGCAGAAAATAATTGTGTAAAATTTTATACAAACCAAAAACAAGGAAAAAGAATTATTTATACAAGGGTATGAAGGAAAATGTGCAAGGCAGGCCACACAGATACACACCCATACCAGCAAACATTATAAAGTTTTCGTTTCATCAAACACCCAAAAGAACACACAAGCATTTTCATATGTAAATTAGTTTCAAAGTTTTGTCGATTCTAAAATGTAAAACATTCATTTTGTCTATGAATTAAGTTAATTGCGGAAGCAAAGTTAAATGGAAAAGTTAAGAGTTGTTTTTCTATACGATTGGCGAAGAATTGTTTAACCAACACAGACACATACACCTACACACACACACATACATAAACAAAAACATAAACATATAAATGCATATTCGGATAAGTCTGAGCGCGTGAGTGATATTGTGTTTAGGGTGCTGCAAAAACAAAAGCAAGCATAAATAATAAAAATATGTAGTCTTTGATGGGATAACGATATAAAGATGATGACAGCTTCCCTTACCAGGTCATATATTTTAAAAACTGCAATTTATTTGCACATTCTAGAAGCAAGATTATAACCTATTCGTTATAATGAGCAAATAAATGTTTGTAAAATACATGGACCTGTTAGGGACTTAATTTGTTAAAATCCTGATATCCGAATCTAATTAAAGATCATCAGATATATATTCATATATTTGTATTTTATTGTAGTTATGCTGCTTTCAATGTATGCGTGTTTCAATACCCCAAAAACAACAAAAATTGTTTCAAAATTGTTTAGGCTAAGAAAATAAATGTTAACAATTTATATAAGAAAACCAAATACTTAATTTCTGTTGGGAAGTTACTTAGGCATTAAGTACCACAATCTATAAACTTAAAGAACGAAAAAAGCTAAACATTTTGAGAAAGAACAATTTGGTGTTCAACAAAATATTTTAAATCAAAGTAAAAGCCAAGCAATGTTGGTTGCAATTCAAAATCTAGTCAGAACTTCATCTTAGTTTCTTTTGTTTTTGCGAAATTAAAGTCCATTGCATATTGCCGTCCCATAGATAAAAAACCAATATTTATTTAAGGATTATCCAGTCATCCAAACAAGGCATTGCGGTTTCAAAATTGTTTTTGATTGTTTCAAGATATTCTGTTTTGATAAAATATAGAGCAGATAATAAAACAAAGAAAATAGAATTCAAAAAATTTAAAAGTTAAACAAAAGTGCTCTTTTAAAATTCAGTGAAATGAAAATTTAAATATTAAAAGAATATATATTTGTATTAGAACATTGTATTATGGGTAAACAAGCAAAGTAAAAAATATGAAAATCAGGTCAAAGGTACAAATAGTCGAATGGGTGTAACGAGGAGAGGATGCCACAACTTTTGTATGGTATTTACAAACAGGACTACAACGGCAAAAAACGAATATAAAGTCAAAAATCACAAAAATAAAGTGACGAAAGTCAAAAATCAAAAACTTTAAAAAACGCTACTGTAACCCAAGCAAAACGATATGTACTTCATTCAAGTAGTTTTTTACGACCTCTAAATGTGCTTAACAACTATATGCAGGACTATATACCTACCCTAACCTTTAATAACTATCAATTAATTAATTATTAATACCTACAAAACATATATATTATATTTACTGGATACAACACGGAACATACACAACAACTAAGACATTATCTATATGCATAACTAAAGTGGTAGATATTTCGTTTAGGTATTTATAATTTATATATGCAGTCGCGAATCGGAAGTCGTGATTGAACATAATAAATAACGATACACCAACGCTCAAAAAATGTTTTATTACTAGAACGAGAGTAGTAGCCCTTTCTCCGGTGTGTCAAGGGTAGTTCAGAACCTGTACATGTAAAATTGAGTTGTTCATTTAACAACGTTTCTAAATTTTTGGCTGCGAGAAATAGTGTGTATATTTTTAAATTTAAATCCACGAAAGGAGCGGAAGAAGGATGGGCGAACCAGAAGAAAAGGTGAGTAGAGTTCGGTAGTGAGACCTAAATTACAAAACTGCGAAAGACATGCCATACGTTTGTTTTTAAATTATATTAATTTAAAAATTGCAAACCGATAACTTATTGACGTAAGACGTAAGGCACTGCCATCCGTCGCAATATCTGTGGCCCACAGAGGGCGCTGCTGTATTTTTATCGATGCATCGGTATTGCTATCGAAGTTTTTCCCACCTCCAAGGCAAAAGACCACGGTACAAAATCAATTTATTTGCACCGAACAGCGAATATTGCTTAAAAGCTCAATTAAATGCCAGTGCGAACTGCATTTAGCGATCATTATTCGTGTTAGCGTCCGTGGGTGTCCTGGCAAGGGGTTGCGACTGAGTTGACCCTCGATTTTCTTTTGTGTGCGTTGAGGCAAAACCGCAAAAGTGGATACCGAAACTGTGAAAATTGAGGATTTGATGGACTCTGATCCCGAAATCGAGTTCATCGAAAAGGACAGCGGGATGTCATCATTGGGTGGCAGCAAGGACGAGACGCCCGAGCGGCGGGCAGTGGCCGCTGTAAGTAGAGGCCCCAAAAACGTGGGTTCTTCCCCCCGTTCCGATCCCATGTTCCCCTTGCCCATTCAGTGAATCTTATCGTGCTCACGTAATTGTCGGTGAAATGTGAACGAGAACAGCTGCTCCCACAAAACCCCAAAGAACTGATGCCCGGTAGAAAATACTAATTATTTTTCTTTTCATTTCAGACATCAAACGAGCCTCAGGGCGAGAATTACGATGATGTAAGTGGCAGCATGTTTGTAAACAATTCAACACGATCTAACCTCAATCTTGGAGGGCTCTTATATTGTCCTGCATGAAAGGAACATACTTTTACGATCTTTCATTTTAAAAATCAGATTGAAACAAACTCTAATGACAAATTTTCTTATTGTCTAGGAACCCGACGAGTCATTTGGCGAACGTTTCTGGGGACTGACGGAAATGTTCCCCGAGCCGGTGCGCAATGCCGTGGGTGCAGTAACCGGAGCCACCGTTAGCGGCTTCAAGGGCCTCTACGCGTTCTCGTGCAGCGCCAGCTGGATTTTCTTCACCAGTTCCGTCATTCTGTTCGCGCCCGTTATTTTCGAGACGGAGCGCGCCCAAATGGAGGAGCTGCACAAGTCGCAGCAGAAGCAAGTTCTACTGGGTCCCAGCAGCGCGATGGCTCCGAGCGGACCTTCGCCCAGCCTTCCCTCGATTCGTTAACCTAGCCACTTACGCATATTAGCACTACGATAACCGGCGTCGGGGCTCTGAACTCCGAGCTCGGATTTGCCACACGTTAGCTTAAGTTTGTCGATACCAATCAATCCCAGTCGCAGTCGATGTCGAGGACACCACGGACGACCGAAACAATAGCAAAATCCTCCAAAGAAAGTCACCCAACAGCCACACCCTCAGCCTAGCATTTATGCGTTCACACACCTCCCCCGGAAATATCGGTTACCACTGTCCCCTTCGACTCGAAACGATGCGAGCAATTGCAAAACTTCAGATAGGTGTTAGCATTGTAGTTGGCGTACAGAGTATAAACAAACAACCACTATGGTTCAAACCAATTAATAAATATTCGTTTATTAAGAGTTAAAAGATCACCCGATGTCTAATGGTTACAATCTTTGATTGGGTTTTTTCAGGCCGAAGGATGGGCTGAAACTATGTCGGGTCGGAAACATGAAACTCTATTTGTACATACTATATATTTTCTAGGGACTACTGAGATATTCTCTAGGAATCGGATGCTCGGTAAAGTAACGCCTGAACTCGCCGGCGTACTTGTTCCGCAAATTACGCTCCCCGAATTCGTTGAATCGCTGCGCCAGAAACACGTACACATCCAGGACTTTGGCGTGGGCCGAAAGTTTCTTGAAGGACTGAGCGGCGCGCTCTAGGATATCCAATGACTTAAGGAGTTGCGCCTTCCGCTGCTCGACATTGTTTGGGGTAATCGCCAGCAGGCAGCGTACGAAAACAAAGTCTGACTTCGCTCTCTCGTAGAGTCCTCCGTTGATGTGGATGTCGTGCATGCACCGCTTAATCGACTGATAGGCCTTCTGGGGCAGTCCTAGAAGCAGTAGTTGCTGCGCCAGCAGCATGTCCACCAAGGCTAGTTCGTAATCCATCTGGCACTCTGCCATGTTTTCAGCAACACGCAGCAGAAGCATGGAAGTCTCGCTGGAGAAACGTCCATCTGTCATGCTGCAGTAGCCGAGTAATACTTGAACCCGCATACGCAGAAGAAACGGCAGTTGATCCTTAGTGGCCAGCTTGTCCAGCAGTCTTCGAGCATTGAAAAACTCTCGTTTGGCTACGTAAATTGAAGCTCGTTGCATCAGTGCATCCGAGGGGTCCAGCAGGTAAAGCTGATCACAGGCTTTTAAGGCATCGTGCCAGCGGCACTGGTATATCCCACTTTGGATGATCACATGGCACTGACTGATCATCCAACCCTCGGCGCTGGGCAATCGGGGAAAACGTTCCTTCGCCTGCTGGAGTAGCACCTTGGCCAATCGAGATTCCCCCTGAAGTTGGAGCCACAGGGCGTAGCTGGACAAGGCACTGCCTAGTCCGGCTGAACAATATTCCGCCCGATCTCGGACTGATAACAGGACTTGGGAGTACAGAGCAGCTAATTCGTGCCTTCCGTAAGCGCACCACACGGCACTTCTCAAAGCCAATGCATCCGAGGAGTGATCCGCAAAGTTGTTGCGGTTGGTTAGATTATCACTACGCTGAAGGAGATCGAAGAGTTTCAGGGGCTGATAGCCTGCCACCGTTCCCAGTTTGACGGCAAAATGCAAAGCCAGGGTGTAGTTCTGAAGCAGGGATCCATCCACTTCGTTGGCCTCTTGCACGCTCTTTTGGATCGCGGATAGAGGCAGCTCATCCCGCAAGAGGCAATACCAAGTGTTGGCTAGATTCAGACTGCTTTTATCGCTATGTTCCTGGGCTAACATTGTGCTCTCCTTGAGGGCAGCCAGCGCCTCGTCTCGATGGCCGAAGGTGGCATGCAGCACCGCCAGGTTTACACAAAAGTACTGGTATCCTTTTTCCTGGCCCATCAGTCTTACCGGACTCCTGTCCAATGCTCGGTGAAGAGCGTTCAGTGCGTTATAGTAATCCCTCACACGCAGCTGGTTCATGTATCCCAGGAAATAGGGAGTGGTTGCCAGTGGAAGGTCTCTGATGATTTCTTGGACTTTTTTCTGCAGCTCCATGGGTGCAAGGGCATTTCGTTCGTTACTCTCCAGCAACTCAGATTGCTTGTTGATAAAAAACTTTGCCTGTTTGGGCCCCCATCTGCTCAGGGTACTCCGTTCTGCCAAGTAGCCAGTCAACGAATTATCCTTTTCCTTAAGTCCAGATTTATCAGTATCCGCCTGGACGGGCGGAGGGGTTTCCTCACGGTGTAGGATTCCCCCAGCAACAGCCTTTCTGGTGCCCGTGGCAGCAGCTCGAACGCCTCGTTCGTAGTATGAGCAAATATTCTTGTACATATCCATCATCTCCGCGAAACTAAGGCGTTCGAGGACAACACCCACTCGACGAACGTAAACACCCACCATACTGAACTGGCTTATCCCATAGTTCTCATTCAGAATCTCATCGATGTTCTGGATCTCTGCAAAGTCGAAGAGCACCTCAATGCTACCGGCACAAAACTCTGACATGGCCTTTTCAAAAGCCTCCAACAACAGGGGATCCAGCCTGTATTTCCCAGTGGTCAGTAGACTGTGCAGCTCGCTGTAGGTCTTGTCCGCCTCCTGAATCAATTTGAAGATAAGCATATAGAACATGCGGCGCCGCTTGGTGGCCATGGATATCCCGGTATCCAAACATGCCTTTTTGTTCTACAAAAATTACAAATTAACAAAAAGGACAATTTCCTGTAGGAAGGAAAGAAGCACTTACGATAACATATTGTTTCAACAGTATCAGCATAGTAATTTTGTGGGCCGTGGGCGGCTCGAGCCGCGGCGGCACTAGTTTCGCTGCGGGCTCCAGGGTGTCCAGCTCCTCGAAAAGGTTCATGGCTGTTCTGCGCCAGGAAAATGTAGTTTTCGATTTTAATTCCCGGCAAAATAAAAACAAAAACTTCAACTGCAGCCAACTTTGCGTCGTTCGGAAATGGATTTGAAGCAATCTGGCAACACCAATTGGCGCCAAATTCAAATATTTTAACTTTTATCTTTAAGGTTCAGACTTATAAATTAAAGTAATTGAAAGGTGTGGTTCTTATCTACACACTCGAAAAACGTATAATTTTATCATTCGATGATCTGATGTATTATCCACTTTACCAATCTGGCTATATCTCCCGTTATAAAGCCCAAAATAATCATTGATTACCTGCCCAAAAGGTCAAAGTCCGAGATGTGACAAAAAAATGCTCGTGCGAATTTCAGCTTCTCCAATTTGTATTTGCTTTAAGTTAACAAAAGCACAAAGTTCACTAGACAACTACCCAGTTAAACGCTAGCCAAATGAAAATGTATAAATGTGGAATAGGTAATACAGCGAATTCAGCGGAAAGTCCTTTAAAGGACGAAGGGGAAAATGGACCGACGCTGACGGGGGTAGTCCTTGAACTCCTTCTTGTAGTTGCGGTGCTTGGCCAGGGCCCAAACGGTCATCTGGAAAGCGCCAGCAAAGGCAAACAGATAGGCGGCCAGGCAAGAGGTCAGCACTGAAAACGACACCCAGGCACCGATCTCGTAGGTGTAATTTGGACACGACACAAAGCTGTAAAGGTGAAGTGGTTATTATATGTTTGTAAACACCATTGATTAAGTGTAAGCTTACTTGAACAAGAGGGTCAGGGGATTTCCGTCAGGCACTGGGATCTTGCGTACTTTGGTTCCAGGTGGGCGCAAGTTGCGCAGGGCAATGTGCACCGAAAAGTTGCCAAGCTCGCAGAGCTAAAAGTAGGGAACGTTGAATTAAATTTTTGTCAAAGCATAATAGAATATATATATTTGAGTTTTTTTGCATATTTTAAAGTTTATAAAAGCAATAAAAATAATCGTTCAGTTCCCGTTACTGATAAGGGAAATGGATATTGATAAAATCGCATGTTTTCGTAACACAATTTCTACATTTTTTGATTTCAGCTGAATTTTAAACTAATTAAAGTAACTAATCAAAGAAATTGCCAACCGAAAACCCTTTGATCTTAACATAGAATGACTAACCCATTAGGGTTTTGATAGAAGCTACATTTTTAAATTCTTTGATAAAAACATCCAATGACATGGACTTTAGAACTGATTCAGAATTCCTTTTAATAAATAGATATTTCCAAAAACTTCTAATAATTTTAACTAAAATACTTACCGCAAATGCTCCCAAAGCGGCCCAAACAGTGCACATGCAGGGCGAGGTGAACTGCGGATGGTTAACATGGTACGACACATAGGCTGTGAATCCCCAATAGTATGTGCAATTCTTGAAGAGATTCCGCAGCGGCATCGTGGCATGCGAGAAGCGGTGGACGAAGATCGTCTCCAGCAGACGCTTCACATAATGGACCGTGTAGCAGCCAGCGGCAATGCTGCAAGAGGGGGAAAAAGAAAACAGGTTAGACGGAGAGGAATGGATAATTATGCATTCGGGTAAGAGTTGTGCCCGGCCGAGGTGTTGCGTTTTAGTTTGCATAAGCCAGGGTCAATCAGGTCGCATACAAAACCTCGCACTAATCGAAATTTCAGCCACTTTCGCCACACACAATCACACAAACACCGATTCGTTCACGCAATACATATACTTACTGGGTGGTGAGGGAAATCGGAAGACTGGCCGCCTTTCCGTAGACCAATTCTGGGCGGAAGTAGAAGATGAGATACACTATCAACGGCCCAGCATATTCTGCCAAGAAGACTGTCTTCCATCCAATCTGGGGTCCCAGATCCTTGATGTACACCTTATCGCCGGTGCGCAGTGACAGAGACTCCAGGGTGTCGGTGTCTTTCAAGCTTTTTCCCTTAACATCCAAACGAAGGGACTGGCGATTTGCGTCCGGCGTTTGTTTCAGGGTCCGGTGAATGAGGGCGCGCAAGTCGCTAATAGGCGTGGCTGCCGAGGGCACCTTCACCTTGCCGTAAGGCTTGCTGTTCTTAGCATTGAATATCTCGAGCTCCATTCCGTCCGGCTTATCTGACTCTAAAATTGAAAGTGTCAAATGCAAAATCCAAGTTAGGCAGGTGGGAACCAGTGTGGACGTTTTGTAGCGAAACCGGTGCAGTGGTGCCAGAAAGTTAAACTTTTTAAAGGGCTAAGCGCTGATGTACTGATTCAGAAGCTTTTATTTAAAAACAGCAACGAATTAATAATAAATAAATTCTAAATTCAATTTGGAAAGGGTCAAATAAGTTTTTTGAACATGCAATCTTTATAATTGCAAATAATGCCATATTTTTTGATAGATATATAAAAACAATACAGGAGATTAGAAACACAACTTAGCCTTCAAGATTTAAACTTCACTTTAGTGATTAGGAAAAATAAACAAAGCAGTCGTGCTGTTAACACTCAACATATCACACCAGCATAGCTTCAGGACACACATTCACTTAATTCACTTCAAAATTTTCCAGTCAAGCTGTGAGTTTCAGAAGTTGTGTCGGTAAAAGTAAAAGTGAAACAAAAGTAGCAAAGATTAAAAAAATATTAAAATATATCATCTCATATAACAAAGATTCAGTTGATTTTATTGTCAACCATATATATTGGTAAGTAGAAAATTCATTGTGAATAATTCAGTGTCAAAGTATGTTTCACTGAGAAAGCATTCGATTCAGTCGGTCAAGTAATTTCATAGAGAGATCTCGTTTTAAAAATTGTTTTAAAAATATTTCATCGTTTTGTTTTGTGGTGAGTTTCCAAAAAATTTATAGTGTGAATTTCTAGAGTGACCTTAATGGGTGAGTTGAAAAACTGAGTGACCAAGGGTGGCTAAAAAAGAAAATACCACAAGTACGATATTTCGATTTTGGTGATACTCATAGTAGCCATTACAATCGTTTTGACAATTGTAGCAGCAACTACAGAAAAATATAAAGCGGAAATACAGAAAAGCGTATTAATATAATTCCTAAAAGTATTTTATTTAATTGTGACTAAGTACATCAATAAAGCGATTGGAATCGAGAGTAAGTTTAATCCAAAGAAACCTTCCTATTTTAAGATTAAACGACTGCGAAAAACTGCATTGAACTTTTTTCCAAGGTCTTTGTTCGGCCATTTTAGATTTTCTTTCCTTTTCAACCCTCTTATGTAGCCACGTAACAATTAATTATATATTGGCACTACGCATTGCTAATTCCTATTGATTTCCCTGCGAAATAAAAACAAGTCTATTAATAGAATTTTTTGCGTATTGTGAAATCTGCAAGGGACGCGTCATGTGAAATTTCGAGAAGTCGCACCCATACATTTACGCATTGTTCCTACATTAGCATTATAATCTGTTCCAATTGTCGATTGTACTAATGCCAATTCGTTTTATAACTCTACAAGGAAACAGTTGTTCAAATAAGGCCACGTCTGAAATTTTTCAAGTTAGTTGCATTTTCCATGACGTCACTGGTATACATACTAACCAGATACACACACACATGCATTTTGAATACACACACTCACCAAACGATAAAATGACGGCGGAACAAAGGTTTCTCCATTTCCATTTTGTTTCCCAACGTCTTTGTTCCGAAAAAGTAAGGGGTTGGAATTTGGAATCGTCCATGTGAACAACTTAGTGGAACAGCAAGCCTTGACAAAAACGTTCCTCTTAGTTCAGTTCGATCCCCCCCCAACGGTCTCAGAAATTGTGAAACTCTCGACGTAGCACAACGGAAATTTATCTGCCCACTAATATTCCACCGTTTCGCACTTTTCTACCCGCAGAATAATCCAAAATGCAGATCTTTGTGAAAACCTTGACTGGAAAAACCATCACCTTGGAGGTGGAGCCCTCCGATACCATCGAGAACGTCAAAGCCAAGATCCAAGACAAGGAGGGCATCCCCCCAGACCAGCAGCGTTTGATCTTCGCCGGAAAGCAGCTCGAGGATGGCCGCACCCTCTCCGACTACAACATCCAGAAGGAGTCGACCCTTCACTTGGTCCTCCGTCTGCGAGGAGGTATGCAGATCTTCGTGAAGACCCTGACTGGTAAGACCATCACTCTGGAGGTCGAGCCTTCCGACACCATTGAGAACGTGAAGGCCAAGATCCAGGACAAGGAGGGCATTCCCCCAGACCAGCAGCGTTTGATCTTCGCCGGAAAGCAGCTCGAGGATGGCCGCACCCTCTCCGACTACAACATCCAAAAGGAGTCTACTCTCCATCTGGTGTTGCGTCTCCGTGGTGGAATGCAGATCTTCGTGAAGACCTTGACTGGAAAGACCATCACTCTGGAGGTGGAGCCTTCCGACACCATTGAAAACGTGAAGGCCAAGATCCAGGACAAGGAGGGCATCCCCCCAGACCAGCAGCGTTTGATCTTCGCCGGAAAGCAGCTCGAGGATGGACGCACCCTCTCCGACTACAACATCCAGAAGGAGTCGACCCTTCACTTGGTCCTCCGTCTGCGAGGAGGTATGCAGATCTTCGTGAAGACCCTGACTGGTAAGACCATCACTCTGGAGGTCGAGCCTTCCGACACCATTGAGAACGTGAAGGCCAAGATCCAGGACAAGGAGGGCATCCCCCCAGACCAGCAGCGTTTGATCTTCGCCGGAAAGCAGCTCGAGGATGGACGCACCCTCTCCGACTACAACATCCAGAAGGAGTCGACCCTTCACTTGGTCCTCCGTCTGCGAGGAGGTATGCAGATCTTCGTGAAGACCTTGACTGGTAAGACCATCACTCTGGAGGTCGAGCCTTCCGATACCATTGAGAACGTGAAGGCCAAGATCCAGGACAAGGAGGGCATCCCCCCAGACCAGCAGCGTTTGATCTTCGCCGGAAAGCAGCTCGAGGATGGCCGCACCCTCTCCGACTACAACATTCAAAAGGAGTCTACTCTCCATCTGGTGTTGCGTCTCCGTGGTGGAATGCAGATCTTCGTGAAGACCTTGACTGGAAAGACCATCACTCTGGAGGTGGAGCCTTCCGACACCATTGAAAACGTGAAGGCCAAGATCCAGGACAAGGAGGGCATCCCCCAGACCAGCAGCGTTTGATCTTCGCCGGAAAGCAGCTCGAGGATGGCCGCACCCTCTCCGACTACAACATCCAGAAGGAGTCGACCCTTCACTTGGTCCTCCGTCTCCGTGGAGGAATGCAGATCTTCGTGAAGACCTTGACTGGAAAGACCATCACTCTGGAGGTCGAGCCTTCCGACACCATTGAGAACGTGAAGGCCAAGATCCAGGACAAGGAGGGCATCCCCCCAGACCAGCAGCGTTTGATCTTTGCCGGAAAGCAGCTGGAGGATGGTCGCACCCTCTCCGACTACAACATCCAGAAGGAGTCGACCCTTCACTTGGTCCTCCGTCTGCGAGGAGGTATGCAGATCTTCGTGAAGACCTTGACTGGTAAGACCATCACTCTGGAGGTCGAGCCTTCCGACACCATTGAGAACGTGAAGGCCAAGATCCAGGACAAGGAGGGCATCCCCCAGACCAGCAGCGTTTGATCTTCGCCGGAAAGCAGCTCGAGGATGGACGCACCCTCTCCGACTACAACATCCAGAAGGAGTCGACCCTTCACTTGGTCCTCCGTCTGCGAGGAGGTATGCAGATCTTCGTGAAGACCTTGACTGGTAAGACCATCACTCTGGAGGTCGAGCCTTCCGACACCATTGAGAACGTGAAGGCCAAGATCCAGGACAAGGAGGGCATCCCCCCAGACCAGCAGCGTTTGATCTTCGCCGGAAAGCAGCTCGAGGATGGCCGCACCCTCTCCGACTACAACATCCAAAAGGAGTCTACTCTCCATCTGGTGTTGCGTCTCCGTGGTGGAATGCAGATCTTCGTGAAGACCTTGACTGGTAAGACCATCACTCTGGAGGTCGAGCCTTCCGACACCATTGAGAACGTGAAGGCCAAGATCCAGGACAAGGAGGGCATCCCCCCAGACCAGCAGCGTTTGATCTTCGCCGGAAAGCAGCTCGAGGATGGACGCACCCTCTCCGACTACAACATCCAGAAGGAGTCGACCCTTCACTTGGTCCTCCGTCTGCGAGGAGGTATGCAGATCTTCGTGAAGACCTTGACTGGTAAGACCATCACTCTGGAGGTCGAGCCTTCTGACACCATTGAGAACGTGAAGGCCAAGATCCAGGACAAGGAGGGCATCCCCCCAGACCAGCAGCGTTTGATCTTCGCCGGAAAGCAGCTCGAGGATGGCCGCACCCTCTCCGACTACAACATCCAAAAGGAGTCTACTCTCCATCTGGTGTTGCGTCTCCGTGGTGGAATGCAGATCTTCGTGAAGACCTTGACTGGAAAGACCATCACTCTGGAGGTGGAGCCTTCCGACACCATTGAAAACGTGAAGGCCAAGATCCAGGACAAGGAGGGCATCCCCCCAGACCAGCAGCGTTTGATCTTCGCCGGAAAGCAGCTCGAGGATGGCCGCACCCTCTCCGACTACAACATCCAGAAGGAGTCGACCCTTCACTTGGTCCTCCGTCTCCGTGGAGGAATGCAGATCTTCGTGAAGACCTTGACTGGAAAGACCATCACTCTGGAGGTCGAGCCTTCCGACACCATTGAGAACGTGAAGGCCAAGATCCAGGACAAGGAGGGCATCCCCCCAGACCAGCAGCGTTTGATCTTTGCCGGAAAGCAGCTGGAGGATGGTCGCACCCTCTCCGACTACAACATCCAGAAGGAGTCGACCCTTCACTTGGTCCTCCGTCTGCGAGGAGGTATGCAGATCTTCGTGAAGACCTTGACTGGTAAGACCATCACTCTGGAGGTCGAGCCTTCCGACACCATTGAGAACGTGAAGGCCAAGATCCAGGACAAGGAGGGCATCCCCCAGACCAGCAGCGTTTGATCTTCGCCGGAAAGCAGCTCGAGGATGGACGCACCCTCTCCGACTACAACATCCAGAAGGAGTCGACCCTTCACTTGGTCCTCCGTCTGCGAGGAGGTATGCAGATCTTCGTGAAGACCTTGACTGGTAAGACCATCACTCTGGAGGTCGAGCCTTCCGATACCATTGAGAACGTGAAGGCCAAGATCCAGGACAAGGAGGGCATCCCCCCAGACCAGCAGCGTTTGATCTTCGCCGGAAAGCAGCTCGAGGATGGCCGCACCCTCTCCGACTACAACATCCAGAAGGAGTCGACCCTTCACTTGGTCCTCCGTCTCCGTGGAGGAATGCAGATCTTCGTGAAGACCTTGACTGGAAAGACCATCACTCTGGAGGTCGAGCCTTCCGATACCATTGAGAACGTGAAGGCCAAGATCCAGGACAAGGAGGGCATCCCCCCAGACCAGCAGCGTTTGATCTTCGCCGGAAAGCAGCTCGAGGATGGACGCACCCTCTCCGACTACAACATCCAGAAGGAGTCGACCCTTCACTTGGTCCTCCGTCTGCGAGGAGGTATGCAGATCTTCGTGAAGACCTTGACTGGTAAGACCATCACTCTGGAGGTCGAGCCTTCCGACACCATTGAGAACGTGAAGGCCAAGATCCAGGACAAGGAGGGCATCCCCCCAGACCAGCAGCGTTTGATCTTTGCCGGAAAGCAGCTGGAGGATGGTCGCACCCTCTCCGACTACAACATCCAGAAGGAGTCGACCCTTCACTTGGTCCTCCGTCTGCGAGGAGGTATGCAGATCTTCGTGAAGACCTTGACTGGTAAGACCATCACTCTGGAGGTCGAGCCTTCCGACACCATTGAGAACGTGAAGGCCAAGATCCAGGACAAGGAGGGCATCCCCCCAGACCAGCAGCGTTTGATCTTCGCCGGAAAGCAGCTCGAGGATGGCCGCACCCTCTCCGACTACAACATCCAGAAGGAGTCAACCCTTCACTTGGTGCTCCGTCTACGCGGAGGAGTTCAAGCCTAATCTAAATACATTTCCAATAAATACAAGATACAAGCAAGACTTTTCCTGACCATAATCCCCAATCAAGATCAAGATTACCAAGCCATAGTCAAAACCGCCTAGTTCTTTTGAGAAAAGGCGGTCCAATAATCAAAATTCCAGTTTAGATCACGATTCATAATTCTGTTAGTTAAAAAGACCACCAAAATTTTCTTTCTAAATTCATAAAACACTGATTAAATGAGTTAATTTAAATTTAGTGTATCAATGGGTTAAATGTGGGTTCAAACAAAGCGCCAGATAGCGTCTGGTATTTTTAGTATGAAAAAAATGCGGTATTTTGTAGTATTTTCTTATTTTTGGGTTTGGTCACTCTAGGGTGGAAGCCCAAAATATTTATTTTATTTACAAGAATTTTAAGGAAATGGCGAAATTACTGCAGAGGGTGGAAGTCAATTTGCGAAGCTTTTACGTCTTCAACTCCAACTATTGTAAGCGGGAAGGAGAGGTGGGTCTTATGCCAATTATCAGAAGTAAACGCCCATTAATGAGTAATTTCTTTCAGGAACACAAAAAGGTTTTGTTCTATCATCCGAATGATATAGAATTGAATACAAAAATCAAAGACGTGGGTCTCAGTGAGGCTATAATACGATTTACTGGGTATGATGCTTAGGCCACCTTCATTCCCTTTATAATGAATCTCTATTTGTAGGACCTTTACCTCTGACGATGACTGCCAGGCATTACATACCCAAAAGACCACACAGCTCTTCTATCAACCAGAGGATCAATACTGGATGGTTTTGGTCTTGAACGTCCCCAAGGAGGTGCGCCTTAAGGACGGGTTAGAGGTGGCAGAGTACCGAGGAGCAGAGATTTGCGACAGGATTTACCGAGCCATCCTCAAGCAGTGCTACCAAATGTTTCGCTTTCTAAACGGAAAATTTGCTTCCATCGGATCGGAGGAACAGGATCTAGACCAGCGCAGGGAATTGCTTTGCCAAAAGCTGCAGACCTTCTATGATAAATACTTGACAACTCTTAAGGACCTTGCCCATTGTGATATCGTTGACATGCTCCACTCTATTCAGTACCTGCCACTGGACAAATCGCTTTTCCTGCGAGCTCAAAACTTCAGGATGCTAAGCGAAGCATTTCCATCCATCAAGGAAACTGTCGTGCTCTATCAGCAGCAGGTTCTCTGCGGTGGTAGACTTCTCCCGGAGGACTTGTATTGTCTTCATTCCTATATCGTAAACAACGTTTTGAAAGCGGAGGCCAGTAGCTCAACCGCCGTAAGTCCTTCGTTAAAAAGAAGTATTAGTGAAAGCCCATTCGATGGTTTTGTAAGAGGCCAGCAAGCGGGAGAAGGTGATGGACAGGAAACGGATAATGAGCCACCCCTCAAGATTTTTATTACCCTGGAAAAGGAGTCGACTCCATACTACATGCTCATCTATCGAGCACTGAACATTACTCTTTGTCTGTTTGTAGATGGTATGTAGAAAATGAAACTAAACTATGATCGGGGCTATATAATATATTCCCTTTTTTTAGCTCAACAACCTGAGCCAAAACAGGCGTTCTACGACGAACTTCATGCTTATATGGCTTCCCAATTAAGAGCATTGGCGCGGGACATTGCCAGCGAGCTAGCCAAGGAGGCAGCTGGCGCCACTGGCCACGACAGCAGCAGCGAATCAGCTCCGAAATACCTCTTCATCAACGAACAGAGCCTGCAACATCACTCAAACCTTCCCCGACTAGTTCCGCAAACCATACCCCGCAATGTGATGAGCATTATAGCTGATCTGTCTCATCCCAGCGGTGTGTCCGGGCTGGACAGTTCACCTGCCGAGGAGTTGCAGGTGAAAACCACTAACGACTACTGGATCGTTAAGCGAAGCTGCAATTTCCGGCAATACTATGTGATTCTGTGCAATAGCAAAGCCACCCTGTTGGATGTTACCCAGGAGGCAAGACGCATTTTTGAGCAGGAGCTTACAGATGATGTATTCTTTGACAAATAAAGAGGAGAATCAAATAGAATATGGGAGTGCGCCAATTGTGGGGTCTGTGACCATTTCCCTGCCAACAGAAGCGGCAGGTTGTGGTGGTGGTGCGTATATCCGAGTTTGGGTTTCAAGCCAGCACTGCTCCTCCCTCGGTGGCATCGTTATACACGCTGTTGGACGAGGAGGAGCTGGTGGTCGTAGTGGTTCCATTCTGGGATTTACTGATCTTCACGATGTATATTCGACGGTTGGACATGCAAATGCTGTAATAATGTTGTTCGTAGTCTATGGTGATCCTTTCACAGCTGCTGTTTGGCATGAAAGGTTCGTCAATACTGGAAAAATATCGATGTAAGTAGGAGTGAATCATTTATTTGAGTTCGACAAACCTCTCAGTAAGATTTAGCAGGCCCATTATCACATTTGCACTACGCTCGTCGTTTTTGAGCTCTCCACCGGATTCTAGAACGGCGCCATCGTCCTTTAGAATCAGGTAGCCTATCTGGTTGGGCACAATCAATTTTTCCTTGTCCATTTTTTCGAATTTATTTATTTATTTATCTTTATCACCCACACCCTGGCTTAGTATTACCAAAGTTGGTTCTTCAGAAAAATACTAAACTGCGCAAAAAAGCTTTGTAAAGAATAAAATTTATAATACTTGTAGATAAGAAGTTTAAATAATGTTCCTCATATTTAATAAGAAATATCTATCCAGGCAACAAATTAAAACGCAAATTATAGTTTTCCTGATAAGAGAAATACCAAAAAAATTTAAGTGCTGCAAAGGAACTAATCTTCTAGTGTTGAAAATCGTCGCTTTTCGCGCCATTGACACAAATTTGAAATTGGGACACCGGGCTAAGGTTAATGAATGCAAAAGTCAAACAAGCCGCATCAACAGGAAACTAAAACTGCGGCTCTAAGTCAACACTGGGCGTGGTCAATAGAAGGCGTGTGAATGCATAGTTAATGTCACTGTCTGGTGTAAAAGGCCATGGGCAAGGAAATTCCCGGACAGTCTCTCTCCGGAAATGGCCAGCTATTATAGACGCAAGAAACCGGACGCCGTGTTCCTGAACGCCAAGCCCCTGAACAGTGCCAATGCCCAGGCCTACTTGTACGGGGTACGGAAGTATTCCATTGGTTTGGCTGAGCGCTTGGATGCGGATTACGAAGCGCCTCCAGTGGATAGGAAGAAGAGCTCGGATAGCACAGCCTCCAATAACCCGGAGTTTACGCCAGTGAGTTGATCTTTTTAGGCTTTTACTTAACAGATTACGGAGCTTGGGAAGTTTCCCTTTCCAAAGAGTGTTTTTTACAGGAATATTGCTCCAGTTAACTGGTTCCTTCGGATTATTGGAGTACTCCCGATTGTTCGCCGTGGTCCAGCCCGTGCCAAGTTCGAAATGAATTCAGCCTCGTTTGTATACTCTGTCGTATTCTACATCCTTTTGTCGGTAGGAGGGTAAAATCGAATGAATTTAATTTGTTTAATATTTATGTTTCTCCTTCGGGTAGTGCTACGTTGGCTATGTGGCCAATAACCGTATCCACATCGTTCGTTCACTGAGTGGGCCTTTTGAAGAGGCGGTTATTGCCTACCTCTTTCTGGTCAACATCCTGCCCATTATGATAATACCCATACTGTGGTCGGAGGCCAGGAAGATAGCTCGGCTCTTTAACGATTGGGATGACTTCGAGGTCCTTTACTACCAAATATCCGGACACAGCTTACCCTTGAAACTTCGTCAGAAGGCCGTTTACATCGCCATTGTGCTGCCCATACTTTCGGTCCTTTCTGTGGTCATCACCCACATAACCATGTCGGATTTGAATATTAACCAGGTTGTGCCCTACTGCATCCTGGACAATTTGACAGCCATGCTGGGCGCCTGGTGGTTCCTCATCTGCGAGGCCATGAGCACTACGGCCCATCTCCTGGCGGAGCGATTCCAGAAGGCCCTGAAACACATTGGACCGGCTGCCATGGTGGCGGACTATCGGGTCCTGTGGCTCCGGTTGAGCAAGCTAACCCGGGATACTGGCAACGCACTCTGCTACACGTTTGTCTTTATGAGCCTCTACCTTTTCTTCATCATCACGCTTTCGATTTACGGGCTAATGTCGCAGCTCTCGGAGGGATTCGGCATCAAGGACATTGGGCTGACCATCACGGCTCTGTGGAATATAGGACTGCTATTTTACATCTGCGATGAGGCCCATTATGCTTCTGTGAATGTTCGTACCAACTTCCAGAAGAAGCTGCTGATGGTGGAGCTAAATTGGATGAACTCTGATGCCCAGACCGAGATCAACATGTTTCTGCGAGCCACCGAAATGAATCCTTCTACCATCAACTGCGGCGGCTTCTTCGATGTCAATCGGAGTCTCTTCAAAGGACTCATAACCACAATGGTCACCTATCTCGTGGTGCTGCTGCAGTTTCAGATCAGCATTCCCACCGATAAAGGTGATTCGGAGGGCAGTACGAACATTACAGTGGCGGATCTGCTGATGGACAGCTTGGACAACGACATGACCCTTATGGGATCCACTGCTACCACCCAGAGTACGACTACAGCCAGCACCTCATTGGCACCACCAACTACCAAGTCAGCACGAGGCAGGAAGGGCTAGGGCTCTGTTAGAAGCTTCTCAAGTAGAGAAAAATAATATCTCAAATGTTTTTAAAGCCAAAACGATTTTAGGTCACAAATAAAACAAAATAATAAGTTTTAACGTTTATTTAAGTGCTGAAGTACATATGTAACGCGGTTTACCGACTACACGATAAGAGATAAGACCGCCTTATTGGCCAAGTTCTACACAAAAATAGTTTTATAAATTTCCCGGCAAAACGATATTGCTGACTGCGTCGATTCGATATTCCCAACATCCAGGCACTGCCTCTGGGACATAGACGAGTATGTATTTTATTTAATATGTTAGGTATTTTGAATAGGCCCCTCGATCCATTGGCTATCTAAAATAGTATCTCTGCTATATCCATATCACACTCGGTTTTGCAATACAGAAACTGTAGAGCAGTTGCAATCAAGACACCTGATGGGGAAGTTCCAAAATATAATTGTATTCATTGGGTTTGCTTAGCACTGTCCATCGGGGGACTCGGTTAGGATGTGCTTGTAGCCATTGCTGCCGAGGTACATGTGCTCCCTCTGGAAATGGTAGGGTATCTGTAAAGATTACACTTGTGTTAAGGTTGTCCAACGAGGGGAAAGGATCTAAGACTTACTGCCCCAGGAGCTGGGCAGGGAATGGCCACTGTAGCGATCTCCCTAAGCTTGTTCATGGTTCTCAAGCTCTGGTAGAAGCTGTGCATCACATACCACTTGCAGTAATCCATGCAGATCAAGCTATAGCAGACGATAACTGGGGAGTTTTCAAAGATAACCAAGTTTAAAAATTATTGGAATAATATAAAAGAACCACAATAACTTACAGTAGGGCACTTGCCCGCCCAACAACTGCACCACTTTCATGTCCCTCAGCATGAAAACCAAGACTCCCAGGGCCACCATCATCAGGAACTCAACCACCAGCCATGGAATGATTAGGCCAGGACGATTCTTGTAGACTCCAAAGAACAGGGCAATGCAACTCAGGGCATAGGTCCCCGAGACTCCAGCCAGGAAATAGAGAACATTTTCAGTGGCATCTGCCAGCTGGGCGGCAGTTTGGAGAACCAAGTCGTTGTGGAACGGGGACATGTTGTAGAAACCATTGTCCTTCTGGTCCAGAATGTCCAGTTCCAGGACATGGCACATCTGTTCGGCATGAGCCAGGCCCAGAAGCACCAGGAACAGAGCACAATGGGAAATCAACTAGAAAGGGTGAAAACTATTTAGTTTTAAAACATCAAAATGAAATTTAAATTAAAAATAAATAGAAACTTTATCAAAAAAGTCTGGCGAGAACCAGAACTTCAATGTGTAGGTAGCACATATATGTAAGATCTGTGAAAGCTGCATCAGCTTAGGGGTTGTAGAATTCCCAACCGGTTTTGGCTTTGCTTGCCTCGACCTTGTCCACAAACTTGGCAAAAGCGTTAAAAGGGTGCTCGTCCTAGCACGTTCGATCGCTGAACAACGGTGCAGACGCATTGCGCCGCAGGACCGTCTCCTTTTGGCGTGCGTTTCAATTGCCGCTCTCGATGGTTCCCTGCGTGCCCAGTGGGGTATGGCTTTGCATATCCAGTGCATAATTTTTGTATAGGGGCTGGCGGTTGCACCTCGAATCGTCCTCTGGATTGCATGGAGGTCCTCAAGGTCCGAAATGCGTGCCAGTGGTTATGTGCGCTGAGCCCCGCCTGAATAATAAATTCGATTCCTTCTAGCCTCTTACGTAAGGTGTCTCTGGTGTCCTATATCCTTATTCCTCCTCTTAAATGCCAAAATACTTACCAACTGATAGATGCTGGTCAACAGCGCTGTGGTGCGAAGGTTCTTTGGCGAAATTGGGGACATCAGGGACTCCCATATCCGGCGGCAGCAGCACTTCCACTTGCACCCGACCCCGGATGCCGAGCGGACCGTGGGCAGCAGCATTCTAGCGGATTTTTAGCTCCTCTTCCTGGTTCTTACTCCTCAATCAATTTATGGATTTTTCCCGTTGTGCAGCAGAGGAGTACGAAATGCGACGCAACTGTTCCGCGGACTCGGTTGTCATGCATTTGACTTGAAAACATTCAAAGTGGGTGGACGGTGACCTCGAAAAGGGGTGGGTGTGGTGTCGGGTTAACTTGCGGCACCCACGCGACCCAAACTTTCAAGGAAAGCTTTCACCGAGGGTTTGGCCCAAACTGCACTGTCGAACTACCCGAAAAATTACTAACAACTACGGAAATTGAGTGCCAAGGTCTGACCAAATGTTTTGACTTGGTCAAAAGCTTTTTAGCTTGGATTTTGTTTACTTATTCTTGGGGGAAAGTGTATTAACTTTGTCAGGATGCTTGATTAACGAAGGTATTTCTTAGTTTTTGTTCTAATATTTTTGAGTATTTTTATTATACTGCTGTCATTGAAAATATCCTATATGTTAACATTATTATTAAAAAGAAAACAATTCCTAGAGCATCCAAGAATCGTTGTTAAAACATTAAAGTAGATCTTTTTTTAGGGTGGTTTTTCACTTTAGCCCGCGCAGATGTTATCGAGCTTTCTTTCCGCGAAAGCTTTGCAAGGAGTTGCCACTTATTTCTAAACGAATGGGGGACCCCCACCCTTTGTCGACGGCGGGGAAACCCCCCTTTCAACCCTGACCGTTGCTATGATAAATTTTTTTGCATTTTAAAAGTCAATTTACACTGGAACTATAAAAATGTAACATAAATTTTGCCAAAGCAGGCCATAAAACTCCGGCTGTCGGCTGCAGAAAGAGAATCAAAGTCGTGTCGTTGCCACTGGGCAGCGAAGCAACCTCATCATGATCTTCCGGATACCCATCCTTCCAGCACTGGGAGAAAAGAAGGGTACTACAATTAACCAAAGACAAAACAAAGGGGTTGCCTTTCTAGGAGAGGCTTTCAAATCCCAAGATGTAGGGAATGTATTTTTCATTATTAGATTCAACTTTCCATTGAATTTGTTGCTGTGTATCCTTTTCACGATGGCGCTCTCGTGGAGCTTGAAGCCTTCTGTTTCGCCAGCTACTTGTGGGCCTAATTGATTGTTTTTCTACGAGCTTGGAGCTTCGAGCTAAGAGGGGTTTTGGGTTCCCAACTCCACCTTTGAACGTCTGGCGAGGATCGGCGAGGAGTCAGCCCACAATGTTGGTGGAACCTTTCGGAATGATGATGAAGACCTCAGGGGCAAAATATGGCAGAGTGCGCTGTTGTTGGCGGCTTGTTATCATTGGGCGTGTTTTATTAACTTTTAAGCTGCCATGCACGCGAGGGGCCATAAAAAGTGCAACTGGCGGTGGCTCAGCAACAACTGAAACTGCAAAAGTCAATTAAAAGTTTTTTACATTTGTTTGCACATAGAACGGAACGGAACGCAGGAAGAGGACTCTCTCGCAGCCTGGCGCGATAATCATAACTGCAAAAAAGTAAGAAAACTACGCGCAGGCGTCGCCCGTCGATAATTTATGGCCCCAAAAGTCAAGGGGCCACAGGCGGGGGGAGCTGGATCACAGGTGAGCTGCAAGCTGGTGTATTGAAATATCATCTTGCAACCATTTGCCGTTCAATTTGCGTTCGCAACGCTCTTTTGATTGGTTTTTCCAGCCCATCCCCCTGCTGGCCGTTTGCAATCCATGCGATTCGACTACAAATTGATTGCCTTAAAGTAACTTGTAAAAGTATCTAAGAGATGCACTAAGAGAAATTTATATTCTGAGTTTAACTTTAAAACGTACGTTTCTTAAATAAAAATGTATCTACAGTTAATAAAAGAGCTCTTTCAAGGCATAGTAAATATATATATATACCAAGAAGATCTAAAACCTTTTCCCAAGTGCATAAGTCCTTTGCAGATTGATCCACTGTTGTTGTAGTTTCTGTTCTGTTTCTGTTTCTTTTCATTTTTTTATTGCTGCTTCCTGGGCTCCTCATTCAGCAAAAAACAGAAGCAACATTACAAATGTGTGGCGTTATTGCCACGAGGGAGGAGTCCTGGAGTCGGGAGTCAGGAGCATCGACTTATTTTTTGATTAAAAAAAGGAAATATCCAGACAGTGGGGGCAGTGGAAGGAGGGAGTTTATAGGAGTTGGAACTGAGCTGCAGTTCGATTTGGTAGTTGGAGTGGGCTGGGAGGGAGTTTGGCTTCCCGAAAAGCAATCGACGTTGTTAACAAGCATTTCAGCGCATGACAATTGGCATGCACACCTCCGGGCCATTAATATGCAACCGATGCTGACACATTTGGAGCTCGGCTGAGTTGCAACTGCTGTCATTGCAGCAGTGGCTTGGGAGGCTGGCTTGGCTTAGTTATTTAATCACAGAAAATCTTACAAACATAAATAACATTTCCTCGACTTATTTGCACAATTTGTTTGCCTGTTTTGACAGTCGAGTTTGCAGGCAAAATCGATCTCCTGGGTCTTTTCTTATAGATATCATACGGGAAGGTGGAAAAAGAATGCATATGGGCAGGTAAGGTGGATATTTATAGATGCACGCTATGAAAGTTATGAAATGGTAATTAAAGGAAGGGAATCGATTTGGGATTGGCAATAGCATAGCTTAGATTAAAGTTTAGTAAGGTTCTCGATTTACCTTTCTACCCCAGCCACCAATCCCAATATTTAGACACCAGAACAGACCTATCCCCACCAGACATTGTCACGTTTTCACGCCAAATATCAATTGTCGCACATATTTGCATAGGCCAAATATGAAAGGAGCAGGAGGACACGGCGCCAGGATAATGTATTGTCATCTCCCCGTTTTTGGAAAGCATTTTGTAAATCGCTGTAGCGGATTTTTGCGGTGGCACAGTGATGAAGATGTCGATGTTGCCGCCTGCCGGCTGCCAGTTGCGATTAAACATGCACCCCCATAGGCAGCAGCAACACCGACTCCTGCCACAGCAAACAGTCGGGGTGAGGAACCCCTCGCACTCTCAAGTCTCAAGGGTGTGTTCAATTGTGTCAATTTAACGCCTTTTATGGCCCACCAACCCACATTCCACATCCCGGATTTCACCCCCTTTTTCATCAGCTCCATGCTGCACGCTGGGCATATTAATTATTGGAGGAAGGCCGCCGGATTCCACTGGCATTTGCAACTGTTTAACCCACTCGATTTGCCACAGCGCCGAGTGACGGAGTGACAAGTGTTGATTATCCGATGGATGCGATGTATTTGCTAAATGCATGCTCGCTTTACGCCAGCCAAACACGATTATTACTAGTTGCCTGTCTAAATATTGGAAATTGACAATATGCCAGCGATGGCTAAATGGTTTATGGCTCTGCAGCTCGCATCTCGTATCTCTGAATGCAGCTGATGAAGGCGGACGACGATGTATCTGAAGGATAAACAGAAGGATACTCTGGGTGGCTGATGTGGGCGGGACTCGATATTGCGACTTGTAATTAAATTTTTCGTTTCAGATTCCATATAAAGTTCTTTTATTAGGAGTTTATTACAAAAATAACTTTATTTTATACATATTTAACCAACTAACCAAGTGCCCTTGGCTCTTCCGAATCAAAGGTCACAAATGAACCTCTATTATGTAACCCTTTGTAATACCATCCCTTGGGGTCATCTCTTTCCAAATATTAAACAATATTTAAACTAATTACAAGCTGCCCCCTGGCTATATACAATCAGAACTATAAGCCCCACAAATCCTTTCAATTCATAGGCTTAAAGATTCAGACCTGCTGCTGGCGGGAGTCGCGCTGTCCTGGCAAATATCCTTGATATCATTTAGTCAACTGGAAAAAATTCAATCAGCATACTTGGCAAATATTCAACAACGCTGGATGGATTGTGGATGTGGATGTCGATTGTTTGACTGAGCGTGTAGCCCTGGAGGATATGGAGGGGGTCCTGCCGGGCAGCCGAGGCGAGCCGGGTCCTGTGGGCGGGGGTATGTTCGCTGCATAAATCAACAGCAAATAAATGCTGATACGCTGAAAGTTCGTCTTGGGATGCTTTTGGCTGAAACAAAAAACCATCCGAAGCGGAAACGAAAAGAACAAAAAAAGCGGAGAACGGAGAAAAATTCGCATTCGATAATTGAATTTTCCCTGGCGGAGAATAGGAATAGGACCAAAAAAATGTCCAAAGAAAAAAAGTGGGTGGCTAGGAGTGGGGGCAGCACCAGAGAAGCCGGCGGCGTGTCCAGCGATGCATGCGTCGCACGTAGCCCGGAGGAGCAACTAAAAGAAGACAACAGGGCATGGAGGATATAAAAGAAGCAGCAGCAGCAGGAGTGGCATGAGCAGCAGGGCCAGGAGGAGGAGCAGGATTTGGAGGTGGATATGGAGCAGGGAACTGGGAGCTCGCTGCTCGGAGCTGCTCCCATATTATGTGCACAATAAATAGACGTGATCAGCATGAACAAGGTGAGGGAGCATCGCTGACGTCCTTCTGGTCCTCGTTCTGCGTCCTCGGGAGTCCTGAAGCTGTCCTTGCGCTTGAGTGAGCTGCCACATCGCTGACTGCATGTTGAGAAGTAATACACTCAACAAAAGTGTTCTTAAGAAATAAATTTAAAAAATGTAGGGCGGAGGTTGTTCTTTGTATAATTTATAAGGTGTTTCCACAGGTATGCTTGGCAGCCATATGAATATTGTAGTTTTTCTAAAGGTCTTGTCCCAAAATATGAAAATATCATAGATCCTTGTTTAAGATTTTAACTTTTAAGGTATTTTAAGGCCTAAAAATCGGATGGAAAATGGCCAAGATGTGGATACCTTTTAAATATAGCTTTCCCACAAAAACATCAATCCAGATCGATGGGGAATCCATCCACAAAACGTTCAAGGTATTCCGCTCAAGGATCGGATGGAATCTGGTTAAGGTTAATCGTCATTATTGATGAATATTTTGCTTTTAAAATATTTGGTTCCAATAAAAAAAAAGGTTTTTAGAAAATAAATTTATTCTCAGTGCAGAAACTTGGAGCGCCAAGGTCCCGAGTGGAAAGCTGAAGAAGAAGCTGCAAGGATGAGGAGGCTGTTAGAGGAAGGGATTCCGACGAAGGAAGCACTTGAGAGGATGTTGACTGAGTTTTTCTTCAGCTCCTTTTTGCCGACTGTTTCCGGCTTTTGTTGCACGAAAAGTGCTCGACCGAATCTTTTGTCCCTGTATCTGTATCTGGGTCTGGTGCTGGTTCGGTCTGCGTATGTATCTGTATCCTTGTATCCCCGTATCTTTGGATGAACTCGCTTG